ATCCATCGCGGATTTGCCTGATACGATTTTAGAATACATATTCGTTAACTTATCACCATATGGCGACCTGCCGAACTGTAGTCGAGTGTGCAAGCGTTGGCTCCAAGTGGCAGCCAAGGCTCGGCGGGCGATCACCAGAATCCTGAAGCGAACCTCCCAGTTTGAATGGAGGGCAATCAGCTCACCGGATGGCCGGCGGAGTTGGATTACGCACCGATGCTCGCATTCGGCGTGTTACCATCCGTCAGGTGAATTATCATTGTTGGTGCGTTGTCGATGTTGTCAACTGCATCGCTTACAGGATATATGTACGTGTTTGGCGGTTGTGCGGCCGCTTACACGACCTTTAACGATTTGTGGAAACTGGACCTGGCCGACGGCACCTGGAGTCGTCTGCTGCCCGGCGGCCGGTACCCGACGCCAAAGGCTTCCGCGACGATGGTCGAGCACCGCGGCCAGCTTGTACTGTTCGGCGGCTGGTCTAAATCCTCACCGAATCCCATTCATCAGATATCCATGTTTTACAACGAGCTGCACGTCTTCGATCCGGTGCTCAACCAGTGGACCGAGCTGTGCGACGACGGCAGTTCCCCACCAGGTTTGGCCGGTCATTCGGCCAGCGTAGTCGGCGATCGCATGATCGTGTTCGGTGGCTCTAATGGTTCAGCCAGCACCAACGAGGTACACGTCTTCGACCTGGTAAACCGTACGTGGTACAAGCCACAGGTTTCCAGCCGAAGACCGGCGTCTCGATACGGTCAGTCACAGGTCAGTGCTATGACTGGAAAATGGGTGCAGCGTAAAGTTTGTTGTTTTTGGGCTGGGCTCGAACTCCCTTCCTCTCAGTTAGTGCAACATATGGTAAATTTCGTGCTCACGGGAATTCGTGTTAAAGAAAAATACTAGCTCCCTCTCCATCGCGGGGATCGAACTCCGATCCTGTGGAGTTTCAGTTCGAAGCTAAACTTTTACGGACTGTGCCACTACGCAAGATACTCACATGCTGCAGACCAGTTTTCGTAAATGGTTCCCTGTGTATTCGGGGTGGTGCAATATT